TCTGTCTTATTAGTATAGGACTTTTGTATTTCTGTCGCAATCTAACCACAATTTGCTTTTCAATGTGGTTGCAATACAACCTGTGCATACATACTTTGGAAGAGAAGGAACGCGTGGGGGGAAATCTGTAGTTCTGGAGTAGGAGGGGGTTTTTTCTCCATCTTTTACATACTGGGAGTAACGTTTATTTTTCTCCTAGATAAGCTTCCCTCAGTTTTCCATGCAATTTTCAAAACAAGTATTATTATTTATTACTGCGATCACAATTAAAATCCATTTGCTCATGCAGCCACCCGATGCCTCCTGATTTCTAAAACCCACTCTGCAGCCAAGCTCAAGAGGCTTGGCCAAAAATTTAGGGGTTTAGTCTTCCCCCCCCCCCCCCCCCCCAAAAAAAAAAAACTTTCTGCCACTACAATACTGCAATAAAGGCAGTAAATCTAAAGTTTGTTCTGGAATTTACATTGACTTTCCAAGTATATACTGCTATATTTATCCTTAGCATACCTTATGAGTTGAAGCTGCAGGATTAGGTGCTGGTCTAGACACAGAAGAAGTTGATATCCCACTGTAGCTAGGTGTTCTGTGGTGACCTGAAAGGCCTGTGGATCCAGTTTTTGCAACAGTTTTTGAACGAGGAAGGGAATTACTCGTGTGTGTTAAGGGATCCTTCTTTTTTGGAACCGCTCCACTTTCTATAAAGAAAACCAATGTAATGAGAACATTTTCAGCAGTCATACCTTTACCATCAATTCTAACTTGAAGATAGTACTGTTGACACATATAATACAGTATTACAGCAGAACAATACAAGTTTTTAAAGAGGTTTAGTACTTTTAAGGGGATATTAACTGTAGCTTTCTCCTGAAGTTAAGTTTTGAATTTTTAGGAGCTCTCAAAATCAACACTAGTTAGCCATCTTAGAAAAGCTAGAGACAGCTAAGTCCTGTAACAAGGAAAGAACACCATCTATTCCTTAAGACAGAAGACAGAACACCAGCCAGAAGATTTTCCTTCCCAAGAGCTCCTAAAAATAATCATTATAATAATCCCCAAATTTCAAGCCATTAGATTCAGAGCATTCACTCCTTAAGTGATGTTAGCAGGCTAGTTACTTTGGATGCTAGCTAACACTATCTAGCACTTTCCACACACAAGCTTCACCAAGGCACTTTAATCGGGGAAAATTAAAATAGTTATACCTGCAAGTAACTACCAGGAGCTTTTTCTTACAACTTTGTTTCACTTCAGGAATCTCAAGGTCTAAGTAAATTCTGAATGACAGCTCTGAAGCAGCTTACCTTCCTACATTAAAATTAAGTCTTAAAAATACTATATTATACCACTGAATTCAACGACCACCACACATTCCGTTCATACTTTAATTCACCTCCATGATGGAGCGGGAAGGTCTCAAATTAGGTGACAGATAAAACAACATATTGGCCACAGGTGATTAAACTACAAATATATCCTTTTAAAAGGATTAAGGAGCCTTTTGATTAGATAAGAGAAATAGGGCATCAGAGGTAAGGAAGCTCAAGATGGATTTCAGCTACAAGTTTCTTCACTAAGCTTTTGGAAATCTGCAACTCAGTTTGACTTTTTAGTCTTAAGCAATGGGCCAAAGAACTCTGATTTTTAAGGAAGTGAATGACTCTATGAAGAATTTTAAATTTATAATATTGCAGTTCTGTGAAAAATACTTTAAGTAGAAAGCCTCATAATTTTGAAAGTTGTGTTTAAAAAATTAAAATAAGAATACTTCAATGATACCGTATCATGGAAGAATCAGTTAATTACTACCATGTTCTCAGCCTCTTTAAACATAAAGGTCTTGCATGTGACCAGGAGCAAATCTTTACACAGCCTGCAGTTATCCATGTGTTTAACTACTTGGCTAACAAGCTTCTAAAGCCTTTCTTCAGTCACATATCTGCCCCTTTTAAGAGTTACAGAAACTCTGCAGGGTCATCATAAACAATGCAGATGTATCAATATGCAAAAAATAAGGGAACTTGAAGAATATGATTAACTACATTTACCTGTAAGATACCTCTTGTAAAAAAAAAACAAAACAAAAAAAACCAAAAACAAACCAAACAAACAAACCAAAAAACCCAAAACTGGCTACTGACTAAATCACACACAGATCCAGAGCTGGTTAAATTTACTTAGTCATTCCTGCACAGGAATTGCCAAGTCAAAAACTCTTCAAAATTAGGCATACTTAGTAACTTTCAAGTTCAAAAAGCACTGTATAAATCTATTAAAAAACCTAGCTACTCAACACTTTGGCTGGTCCAATTTAATCAAAAGGTGACACTCAGTTTGGTTGTGGGTTTTTTTTTTCCTTCAGCCTCATTTGCACAGCTGGCTTAAAGTCAACATGGGAGGGCTTCAAAAAGCTAAAGCAGTTTTTCTCCATCTCCTTCACCCTAACATGCTGCTCAATTATCACACTTTCCCAGAACTACCTCCATCTACTGAGAACACCACACACACACGGCAATTTTGAGTATCATAAAATTGCACAGGTAAGGAATATTTCAGGAAGCTGGAAATACAGGGGGGAAGAGCAAAGAGAAAGGTTTAAATACAAATTACTATTTACTTCACCCTGTACCTCCAGGAATCAAGACCACTAAGTTTACGTATGTTCTGTGGTCAGTCCTGATGGGTAGCACAGAGAGAAGCACTGATGAACTACTCTTGAACATACGTGTTCAGTGTCAAGTCCAGAGGGAAACTTCATTTTATATACAAATTTTCATTGAAGAAGCAAATAAAAATGTGATCAAACTTTTCAGAATTACAGTTTATCTAAGTTTACCTGTTTCTAAAGGGTGAAGTGTTTAAAAGCACATGTATGTCTTTTGTCAGACTGATAGCCCCTACTATTTCATTATGTAAAATATATATTTTGCTGTAATAAATGCAAAACCCCCAAAACACATTTCTTATCCATTTGTATTTGTCATCTGCTGAAAGATGGAAAATAAGCTGCAAGTGGCCTTAAAACCTTTGTAGCATCTCCAGCAGCCTTTTGCCAAATGTTTCACCGTTCCGTATAAAACAGTAAGGAAGTGCCTAAAATATGTTCTAATCAAATATGGACCATGGTATTTTTTCAAGCGTATTTGAAACACTGAACATTTCAATTGTCTACTTCATATATACTTATAGGATAGTAACAGGGGCTTGACCATTTTCATTTTACTCTCTAATTCTTGACTGGACAGAATAATTTACTTCAAAGCTCCAAGCTAATGCCATTAGATCATACAGAAATAACTACCTGGTCCTGAAAGCATCCCTACAATTTTAATCTGTCATCCAAATATATACACAACAAACAAATTACAAACAAGCAAAGAGCAAAATTTTGTCTGAGGTTTTCTATTGGTTAAATTGTGATAAGCTGCAGACACAGGTGCCCAATTTCAGACTCCCCTACAGAAAGAAATGTTAAAATGCATTTATTTTATTTAATTGTTTTTAAAGGTAAAGTGAAGTAAGGATATGTTTGAACAACTTTAAGAGAAGCTTGATTATACTATACACCTGGAAACACAGAAGCAATCTGGGAAACATGCAGCTCTAGCTTATTTATTTAATAAAGATAACAGCATGCTTTGTATTTCTAAAAAGCAAACCAATCATATATTCTTTTGTGCATCTAAAACAGATTAAGACACATCTTAATAAACAAGTTTCTGCTGTTTTAGAACTTCTTAAGCATCCAAAAACCAGTTTAAATTAAAGTTAGCAGCAGCAGTTCCAGTATTGCAGAACAGTTTCCAGCCTTTAGCTGTGAAACCTTAAAAATCATCAGGGAATATTCCTCAGAAATTCCTTACGTATGCGTATTGATAACTGATACAAAGTGACTACAAGAAGTTATTATATGTGGTCTGTAGACCCCAAGTTGGGAAAAAAAATTTCACCAGTCTAGAATTGTCTGTAACTTTATGTATATAGTTTTATTAAAAAAAAAAATAAAAATCTTTAAACTGCTTAGCTATACATTTTCTGCAAATATTGCATAGTAAAATACATGCAGCAATTGCAAGACTGATAGTTATTCAGGATCAGCATTCACAATAGCCCCCAAAATAGTACTTCCTTCAAAGATCATATTCAGATTTTCAAATAGGTACATTCAAGTAATAAAAACTACCTAATAGAAAACTTCAGCAATTAACAAGGACCTGTTCGATGTTTCAAATGGTAGCACAGCTACACAGATCAGGGACACAGTTATTCTCCTTCCGAACTGACAGAGCTGTGTCAGTCAAAGATCTACTGTTGCCAAATTATCATGTTAAAAACGATCTTATCACTACTTGTTCTTCTACTTGGGAAACTCCTTAAAAAACTTCAGTATTAAGAGTAGAATTTTTGCAACTTGAAAAACATTGCCAATATATGCCTACTATTAAAGACATGCCAGCAAATCCTTCCAAATGAAAACCGAGATAAAATACTAGCTACTTGCACAGTGCTAACGCTGCAGTAAGAAAGAGAATTTTAATGCTTTCTCTGATAGTACAACATGCTGAGATTTACATGTTAAATGTAAAATGGTACACTGGAATTACTGCCATACTACCAGTATTGTATGCCCAGTAAAACAAGTTCATAAAACTCATAAACACTGCCTTTGGCAAGACTGGCATAATCTCCTTCCCAAGCTAGTTTAAAAACAAAAAATAACAATCCACAATGCAAATGAAAAAATGCATGTCTGGGAAAAAAAAAATACAGCTAAATTGTTTTAAATCTAATTCAAGACTGCTATGAGAACAAGAGTGATGGATATTAAAAAATAAATATGTATTTCAAAATAAAGGTTTGGGTCAAGGCTACTTGTTATTACTCCTCAGGCAAGTTACTGCATAGCCCTCTGCAATTGAAGGGCAGGTGATACTGCTGTAATGAGGTCTTATAAAACCTCATCATAAATCTATCAGATAAATTTTCAAGAAAAATCTCCAGCTATTCAGGTAAGTTAGGAAACTATGAATGAGAAAGACAGGGATAGGTAGTCATTTGTGCTAGAATCAAGTAAATTGGTCTGAAAGGCTGACACATAGTATTGTGAAAGAAGGAAGAATCTCAAATCAGTAACATTTTTGAAATATAAAAAATGTGCAGTATAGCTGTCAGAATAGAATATCAGACAGAATTAAGAAGCAAAAACATCTTTAAAGACTTCAGCCTTCCAAGGCAAATGAAAGAAAGCAAAGCACTTTTTGACCAAAGAACGGGCAAAAAGGCACTTTCTTGATGTTAGAACTATGAATGACCATGTTTTACACTTCATAAAATCCTGGACTTTTAAAAAACCCAGACTGATTAGGCAGCAGCGCAGGTAATATTTTATGTAGATAGAAAAATGAAGCTTATGCCAGAGCCCTGTGGCTCAGTACCTCTGCAGCACCTCTACTAGGCAGCAGCGCAGGTAATATTTTATGTAGATAGAAAAATGAAGCTTATGCCAGAGCCCTGTGGCTCAGTACCTCTGCAGCACCTCTACCTTCTCAGAAACAGCAGTCCTCTTAAGTAGCCTGCAAGCTGATTTTATACAGTTTTCTAAGAATGTCATCTACTTTGTGTTTTTAAATGATTGCTGCTGTCCATGTGAAAATGCCATCTTTATTACAACATGTATAAAAGAAGTACTTTTAAGGAAAAAGTGTAGCACCAACATCTTACAAACAAGACTCCTCCCCCCACACCCCAAAAAAGGAGACGGAGACAGCATGAGAGTGAACACGGGAGCATAGGCACCAGCCAATTAAGAAATTCAGACTGTTTATAGGCTGACTTTCCTGGTACTACCATGGACCCCTCAGCTGCAGAAGTTCAGTACTTTGGGTAAACCTCTAACTTCCACAGGTTATGAATCTAAAGTTTACCTTTGGCAATGTAAATGCAAATGGAAATGGAATGAGCCTCTTGAAGTCTTGTTGAAAGTAATCAGTAGATGTCTGGTACCTAACTCTTTTTTTATGACCTGCTCTTTAGTCCTTCTGTCTCTTCTCAGACCCCACTGAGCCTGGTAAATAAAAGTTTCTCTGTTAGCCCACATTCCTTTACAGAAAGCTGGAAGACACTTTCTCAGAAAAAAGCATCCCCAGAAGTCCACGGCCCCTTGCAGTTGTTTCCTCCACAGTTTTGCAGAAGTGGTTCAGTCATCCATCTTCTACAAGTCACCCGGAATGTGACTCCAAATGGGTAAACTGACTAATACCATTTTCCACAAGTGACCACCTCCTGCTACAGGAATTTCTGTAAATAAAAACACCTGCCACAGAACCGGCAAAATGTTTCTTCATTTCCAGTAGATGCCAATGGATATTCTATGCTTTGTTACTAACAGATTTAAGTAACTAAATTAACAGTTTTAAGAGTAAAAGTTCAGTCTAACCTTCTCCTGCAGCATCCAATTCTGAGATACATTGAGAAAAAGGTACAAAAACATATAAAGAGTTTAAAGAAAAAACTGTTCATATCAAATCAAATGGAGTATGTTATCAACTTTTGTGTGTATATGTATGTATTTGTTCATTCAACCTCTAGCCAACCAGGTAAAAAGACAAGACTTGTACTGGATCATTTAAGGTAAAGAGTTCTCAAGGTCAGTCTATGAGGAATTTACACTGAAGAGTCATTTTAACTACATCTTTTTGACAAATGCAGTTAACAAAAATACCACACATACAGTAATCTAAAGGTGCCTAACATGACATAGTTCCACTACTTTAACTTCTCATACACTAGAAAGAATAAAACCAAACGGTAAGATGACTCCAGAACTAGAAATGGAGCTAAAGAAAAAAAAAACCATGTGGTTTACACTAAGTTTCAGGTCTAGTTACATTAAAAACTGAGTACTGCTCTTGACTCAGTGAACAAGCTTTATTAATTCCATTGCTTGTTAGCTCTCTATTTTATTTAACCTTATTATAGTCTACTGTACAAATTATCAGTTGAGATCACAGTTGTAACAATAGCTTACTGCTGGCTTAAAACATTCCCTGAAGACAATTCACGAACCTCCAGTAACTTTACTCCTTGTGTATGGACAAACAAGTTTACTTCTTGTATTTTAGTATCCCTGGTGCAGTCTTCTGGGAAAGGATAAAAGCAACCTTCTTTGACAAAAAGGAAGAGCTGTCCCCCCCCCCCCCTCTCCTTGTTTTAATCATGTATCACTTTGTCAGAGTAAAAAACCCTGAAATTTCAAGCAGCTTAATGCAAACGCACATTCACTCTCACGATATCATAAAGGAAGAACTGCTTATGTAGGCACAATATATAACCTACATATCCTGCATTGACTTTGACACTTTCTAAAACAGGTTTAATTTAATTCCTTTAAGAATATAACATGAGAAATATTTTCTAAAATCTTGTCTTAGTAAATAGTTTTGGATTCTAGGACAGTCATTGTAAGAAAGACCTTAATACTACTAAATAAAACAGTGTTGTCAAAGTCATAGAAAGGACGGAATATATTTTATATAAAGCCTTTAAAAACAGAAATATGAAACAATTTTTTTTTTTAAGTTGGTGGGGCCAGAACATAGCATTGCATATTTTTCCCTGTAATACACCAGAAACTGAGAGACATCCCCTCAATAGGCGCTGGTAAAACCAAACCCACCTGACTGGAGATGTCCATTGCGGCATGCCAGGTTAGTACTGTCATTATAGACCTCCATTTGCGGCTTGGAAATTTGCAAAACTGCCTGCAGCTTCTCTACATAGTAGACAGAGGGGGAGGAAGGAAAAAGGACAAAATAAACAAACAAAAAATAAAAATGAACCAAGAAAATTTATGTATGTTGAACACACAATGTCAAGTTTGGCTTTGTTATACTTGATACAGGGTTAAAGATAAAAGGAATATTTCTATCTATTCTACATGTTTAGCAAATTTGTAAGAAAATTCTGTCAGTATGAGCATGACAGAAAACAGCTTTAAAACTAGCCATTTACGGCTGAGTTAATTACAACAATCTTTCCAGTCCAGTGATTGTAGTTACCTCCCAAAAGCAATGGTCAGGATTAATTCAACTTCATTTACTAAGTATTTGTTTTCATAACCCATTTCTGAAAGTCCTCCCCAAGGTGTTACTTTAGACCAACTGCAAGGAGTCACCACTTTCCTGCGTATTAAATGTTTCACTTAAGTAGTAACAGCCAGTCAACATTTCACAGAAACCTCAACTGTTCAAGCAAAATACCATATATACATTACGATGATGTTTTTCAAGATCTCTATTTAGAAATATAATTGCCTTGAAATTAACTCAATAAAACTGTCATGCAAGCTGTGTTCTTTAAGAGGATTAACTTCAGAAACATCTGAATACAAGATTTATAAGGTTAAAGATTAAGGAGAAAGAAATTAACTCTAAGAAGTCATGATAAACTAGCCAAAGCATAAGTCAATGAGGTGTAAGGCTGCAAACGACACAAAACAAGAATTAAGTCTCAGGACTATTTGTTGTCTGCAGCTCACCTACTACCACTGCTTTTCCCACTGCAGCTAAAAACCTCTAGGCCTTACTTTTGGGGTGCTTTACAGCCTCTCCCACCTTTATTTCACACACACACGCACCCACCCCTTTTTTGTAAAAACAAAACACAGTTTGTAAGGATGCAAGGCATATATTGTCATGCTGTCCCTCCCCCCTTTTTTTCCCCCCTCTTCTCCCCCAAGAGATAACAGTACCAAGAAGCTGCAGGAAAACAGATGGCCAGGTAGAGGAGCGACGTCCTCTGGCAACACGAAAGCACATACTATGAAAGAAGCAGAATTCTACCGAAAATGTGCACAGCCAAGAGCATAAATGCCCTGACTGGAGGAAGAATTGCCATTCAGAGCTTGCAGATCGTACAACCACAAGCATAAACACTTCCTTGCTTCTGCTTCTTTGTCTACTACAGATCTTTTTTCCAGTCTTTCTGCTTCATTCCTTTCTTCTTCTGCCTCCTCCTGATCACTCACCACTTAGCTTCCCTGAAAAGTATCTTTAGGCCCAATAGTTTAAGTGATGGTTTAATAATAACTTCCAGACTGAACAAGATGCAGTTTAAAGTGAAAACTTAGTAGCCACAGGCAAATATGAAAAGCTAAAGTTCAAGATTAGTATGTGCACCCAGGGTTTACTTTGTTTTAAATTGAAAGGATTGAAGAGTCGGGTACAGTAAAACAAAAAAATGTTAGTCACACAAGAACAGCCTACAAACAACCACAAGCTTTGTAACTTGCAAGATTTTACCCTTAAGAAACCTCCCTCTAAAGTCTAAGAAAAGTCCTTTTAGTATGACTGACCGCAAAGTGTACTATTTTAGTGGGCGCAACACTACTGGAGGAGACAGCGGAATAGTCTACTCCCTCTCCAGTGCATGCAATCCGAACGGAAAGTACACAGAGAAGCTTAGGAAACAAAATTAGTATTAATAGACTTGGTAAGACATTAGATAATCAGTTAAGTTTTGGAGAACATTTCTCAACTTTACAAAGTCAGTGACCATAATAAAAATCAGTTGGCTTGGGCAGGAATTCAGGAAATGCTATTTGCTTCAACACTACAGTTTGAGACCAGGGTTTTACCACAATTATCAATAGCTTAGCAAGTTCCACATATTCAGGAACTCTAAAACCGCTACAAAGAAATGTAATCCAACTGTTGTCCATTTTCAAATCACACACTGCCTTCCCATCACATTACGTATTAACATGTAATTTTAATATTGCACATAAAATTACATAAAGCAAAAATATCACTTTTCTTGAGAGACAGTGTAGCTGTAGAGCCCTCTGGAATAATGAAAATAAATTGAGCTATTAAATATTATTCCAGGGAATTAACAGGACACCCCATCACCTTCCATTTAAATGCTTTCTCCTTATGTCTCCAGACATTGGGGGCAGAGGGGGAAGTTTACAGAATCTCATTCATTATTTCTCCTTGATGATACAATGTGGACATAAACCCACCAAATAAACACCACTGCAGCTGTTGCCTTATTTAGGCAACACTAGACCTTGAGTTCAAGGTAACTGATTTCTAATTAAAAAAAAAACCAACATTGCCCTGTAACACAAGCCTGAAGCAAAACCACCATCACCTCCAAGAAAGTGGAAGAATCCCAAAAGGTGTCCATTGAAGCCCATATCTATACACGGGCAGAATTATTACCAAAGAGGATACCGATGAAAGTTACTTTAATTATGTGCCATGTGCATCCTTCAACCAAAATACTGAAGCTACACATAGTACACAGAAAGGCACTAGTGCTGACAGAAATCTGTCCCCCTACAGAAAGTCTCTCTGAAATGGGAGAAGACAGACTGGTACAACACATGTATAGTGTTAGAATTGAAGAGTGTCACACTGGACATTGTGATTATCTATCTTTAGGAATAGCAAACTGCTGAGTTTTATGTACCAATTGTAGAAAACAACTATCGTCCTGTGATTCTAAACATATCAGATATAATGAGTCTTAACACGGGTGATCAGGCATCCAGGAGAGATCAGATCTATGAAGACCATCAGAGCAAGATTTATCCACTCATCTAAGTAACTGCACAGCTAACACACCCTAAACCGTGTCAAAAACAGGGGCCACCACCAATTCACATGATAGAGCTTGGAAGTCCCCTGACAGCTAGCACAACTCAATATTGTCACTGGACTGCCAAAGCGATCAAGTCACCTTGAGGTGCTCTGAAACATACCTGGAGTAACTTCAGCTTTCAGGCTGTGTCATAGTACAGCTTTAAACAGAACACGATAGAGTAATTTAGACTCAAGATGAAAACAGGGCTCAAAATAATAAAGCCAACATCCAAGGTAAGTAGCTGACGTCCTCTTGCTCGAACATTAAAAGGTGTCAGTGGTGTGATGACACACAGCATGGGCATGATCAGACATCATACCCCCAATCAGTGGTGTCATGCAACTTAAACTTGCATTGATGATCCAACACATCTCAAAAAAAATCAAACCACTGACCACTTTTAAGGGACAGTTAATCCGTATGATTTAATTTTCACTTTCTATGTATTACCAATGTAACTTGCTTGACTGGATGGCATTTCACTTAGGCAGTCTGCAATCACATCTCTGCCTAGCAAGCAGTATGAAATATTTGATATTATTGTCTACTTTAAGTCTGTTTTATCCTGCCAGCTAATGCAATAAAGGACTTGCCTATTCTTCCTTAAGAAATGGAGAAATTCCACAGGGCTAGAGAAAAACACTTACTCTTTGATCTTAAGAGTTGGACTCATAAGGTTCAATAAAGTGGTTTTTCCTAAGAGCTTCTAGAGCCTCAGGTTTAGTTCAACTACAAAAGCATCTCTACACCGCTTAAAAACTTCCAGATATCTGTTACTACAAGTAACAAGCTAAAAGCTATGTTTAAAATTGCACATTCAACTCTAGATTACCTTAAATTTCAACAAAATCCATGTAAAATTACATATAAAGTAATAAAAACAGATACTGTCAATACTTGAAAGTTGGTTAGATGGTATAACAAATATTACTCAAATAGACCCATAATGATCAAGCTTGCAGAGATTTAAATCCATTGGAATATCTCTCCAAACATCTTTTTCCTTCCTAAAGGGCAGATGACTTCACTTGCTCCTTTCTATCCAAATTCTGCTCTCAGGTACATCACTTGAGGCAGCTCTTTAGTGCAAACTGAACAAGAACCTACGTAGAACAAAGTACTAAACTTCTGGTAATTTCTAAGTAAAAATAAAATAAAATCATATTTGACATCAATGCAATAAACACTTCTATCTGTTTACCTTTCAATCTGCACTCTAAATGAAGAATACAATTAGCATGTGATCACACATTCTGGTAATAAAGATGAACGTACCAGCTTGACTTCAGCTTTAGTTTTTTTGCCAGGTTTACCCTTTTTATCTTTTCAATCAGAGCACAGCAAGTAAGCAACTTATCAACATCACAAGTGCTACTACAATAACACAAGCAAGGACGAAGCGCTACCCACAAAATACAGGCTTTGCCACTTCAAGGTTCAAAGAACAGCAATTTTTTTAAAGAAATCGTAGTTACTTGCAATTTGGATGTCAGCAACAAGCCATGCCTTATCAAAGATTGTTAGCATGTAAGCGCTTTCACTCTTTTGTTCCCTAGTTTGTATTACCTCTAGAAGTCAGCCTTTAACACTAATGAGTAGAAAATATCTTTTCTGCATGTACTAAGGTTCTACCGACAAACACCCGTAATGAAGCACAGAAGCCGGAAGCCTCTTTGGCCCTGTGTTCCCTTCGCTTTTTTTCAGAAAGAACTAAGGACACCAGGAACTCAAGGGAAATAAAAGGGATTCACTTTCTTGTGGTTGTCACAACTTCCCTGTCAATCACCAGTCAGGACCACAGAATCACAAAGTGTAAGGGGAGAAAAGAACATGAGTTTTCCTGTCTGCTCTATACCCTCCTAGGAGAGGGAGTTAGTAGAACTCAAAACAACACAGTGCAAGATTAAAGCTGCAGATACGCAAGTTAAACTCAAGTACATTTGTTTAGTTCTCACTTAAAGAGCAATTAAAAAAAAAATATATCATTATTTTCATTTTACTGCCTGAACTTAAAGCATTTCCAAAGATCTCAATTTAGAGAATGCACTACACAAAGCTGTGGGTTTGTTGCTTGATGGGGAAGGGAGATCTTCGTCTGTTTATCATGCACAGTAAGATGCTATTTCCAATCCTGCCTGTTTTACTCTGTCCATTAAGAGCTTATACACAACACTTAATTTTGATAAAGCTAAAACTAGACAACACTATGCTTCTGAAAAGAAGTGATCTTACCTGCTAGTCTTAAAATAGAACACTACTAGATAAAAATTACAAAGATTAGGATTTCACAACCTTACGGTCTACATAATGCTAAAGAATTATTATTACAGTACATACCAATAATCAGGAAAATTGTTATATAAGTGACAGCAGAATTAACAGAACATGAAGTAGTTAGGCTTACAGAAGGCACACTTAGCACTCATGATCAGCAATATAAGTTTTACCACAGTTCTAACACAGAAATCCTAAACTCCAACAAGAGTTAGTCCAGACTTCCTCAGTTTATGAGTCAAGCATGCTATGGTATAAAGACTTCTCAGTTACTTTTACACCTATTTCTTAAGGCAGAGGGAAGCGGGTCATGAGATTCCAATTTCAAAATCCATCAACAGCATTGAAAAAAATATCACTTACTCTCAACTAAAAACCAAACTTAACAGACCCTACACAGATAATGACTCCTTCACTTTAAAAATCAAAGTAATATTTCAGAAGAATGCATTACATGAAGTTGTGCAAATAATGACAAACTTTCCAAAGTCATGAATTGTAACTGGTACCTAAAAGCTGCAAGCGATCCTTGGCCATTGCCAAATTTGTCATCATTTTAGATTGCAGACGTCGAGCCCGTTCACACTGATCACCTTACAAAGAAAAATCAACGTTAAAACACAATTTGGCAAATTAACTTTAAATGCTAAAATATTGACACCCAGCCTTCCCTCCTCTTCCTCCCACCCCTTATCTACCCCCTCCACTAAGGAACATCATTGCAAACTAATGAAAAAATCCTAAAGCTTTCTATTTAATCAAGAACTTAAAGTTAGCTGACACTATCTGCTTTACAATATTGCTCGTAGAGTGGTGGGAACCCAAGCATTGCTTTGCATTTTCTCCGACATCTCATGCTAACCTAATACCTGTTCTTTGTCACTGCATTTTTCTAAACAGAAGTCAAATAAAAAAGATTTTTAAAAAGCTTGAAAAGTGACTGAGAGGCAAGTACAATTTGAAATAATTCACTTTGGCAAAATTAACAGATTTAAATTCAGTTGACTGTGTCCCTTTACATTTCAAAACACACAGAATTATAGACATTAATATCACCACTTCCTAAAAAATAATGTCTGTTCAAGTCAAGCTTTTTTTTGTTTTTTTTTAAACTGCGCAATTTAGACTGGTTGTATCAAATGCCACTGGTATTGCTGTATAAGTAACACATCACCATATACTGTTCACAAACATTTCTGAACATAGCTGAGGAACAAAACAGCAGTCTGCAAAAGCAGTTACAAGTTTGGGTTTTTTGGGGGAGTTGGGTGGTTGTTATTATTATTATTTTGAGGACAGACATTCTTAGCAAGTCCTTCACACTACACCTATTTCTCCACGGTACATACCTGCTTCTAGACTACAGCTTAAAATGTTTCCATATACACAGATGGCTTTCCTCCTTCATTGCAAATGTTCAGCTATTTTGGCATAAGCTATTCAGAAACACAGTGCTAGACCATTCCAAATTGGGGTGTTTCTTTTTTTAGTTATACTGAAGGGAATATAAAAATCTGCATAAGTGAGAACATGAGCTGTCAACTTTGACAAATCAAATCAGAACTCAATATTTTGGCATTCCCATTCTAATAAGAAATATCAGAATTTTCATGAGCTGCTTATGATTTTGGATAGTCTGAAAATATTTGGAGCAAGATTTGCATGTGTTATAGACCAGAACATTAAGGTAGAACAGAGAAATGGACCAGTGTTCACCTACAGCTAAAACAGGAATAAGAAACACTCTTACGAATTAATTTGTACAGCAGACTAATCCTAGCACCTACCATATTTAGCAATATTGATTCCTCACTTTGAAGATGCCATAAACCAAAATCTTTTCCACAAAACTCAAAACTGGCTTACCTTGACCAATTACTAAGACAGCTATTCCTTTTTCCAGTTCTTCAATTCCTTTCTTATACCATTCAACAGCTTGTTCCTTTTGTCCTGCTTAAAAAGGAAGTGAACCCATTATTTTCTGTAATGAATTAAAGCTTAGGAATGGTTCCATATAATGCTGTGTAAAACAAGTAAGAGGAAGGAACAGATATTTGAACAAAATTCTATGATTTAAAGAAACACTTAAAGGGACACTGTCAACTTTATATCTACTTAGTTTCAAATAAGCTTTTCTATTAAAAACAGGTACTACACCAGCCTCAAATCACTTTTGCCTGGTTTAGGAATACTTCTCCATCTGCCTTAAAGAGATCAGTCCCCTGAAAAAAAAAAAAAAAACACACCAACAAAAAACCCACGAAAAAAAGGTAAAAAAGTTAGCCTACGCATATTCATTCACAACAGAAATGGTGGAATTAATAGTTTTTCTTTCTGGGAACATCAAATTGAGACATGCCTCTTAATCTTCCAGCGATAGCCAATACCAAAGTAACACTAGAAGCACAGAAACTCAAGAAGAAAAGCAACGAGTCTAAGATACTACACGAGGGAGACAAGACAACTTTTCGTCTGGTTAACTTTCGTACAGAGCAGTTCATTTGTCATGCGTGTCTTTCTTTGTTCATCCCAGCATGAAACTGCTGTATTGCAGGTGTATGTCAACTGTCACGTGAAGTACAATACATGTAGAATTGGAGTACATCTCTGTATCAACAATGCCCTAAATGGATATTACAGCAAATACAACCATGAACACGCCTACGCCTAACCTATACTATCTGACACCATGACAGCAAATAACCCATTGAAGAGATATGAATATCTACTTCATATTGCTCCCCTTCTATAAATACTCTGCATTAAAAAGATACTTGCCTGCATATGGAAACATACTTTTGCAAGTTAGCTATGTCACTCCAAGCGTGCCTTTCCACACAGGAATACAGCACATTAGGTATTACAGTTTACACCTGATTAGCATTAACAAGCTGCTAGCGCTAGAAATCACAAAAATGCCTAGAATGAAGCCTTCAGATATCATTACCCTCGTTTCAGAAGAGACAATGTTTCACAAAACTATTCCTAAGTGCCAGTTATCAGTGACTGTGTTGCTTCTGCACCCAACTCTTCTGATAACTTCAGTCCCAAACCTATTTTCTAGCAAATTTTAGTGCCAGTAGAAATATTTCAACACATTTCTAGAATCCTCTTAAGGGTCTTCTTTTGCTCCTCTCCAGATGCAAAATCTTTTAATAACATTTGGCAAATTACCCTGCGCAGGTAATTCCACACTTTGCTCTTCTTACCGACACAAACCACAGGAGCAGCACCTTTCTGCAGTCATGTACATCACACACCTTGGGAATCATTTTATTACTGCCCTTTCTCCGCCAGCCTTATATATCCTGACTGTCAAGGACAAAGCTAGATAAATTAAATCATCAAAACTGAGTGACTTGGATCCTCTCTCTAGCCTTTTTTTTCTTTAAGCTTTTGCCCATCACCTATAGAAACAGTTTCGACTGCAGTGTAAATCTAATGCTGATTACGGCTATTAGAAATCAAATTTGAAATTATTCCAGCTACCTCTGCTATTGCCTGAATTGTTTTGCTATTCCGAAGAGCAGCTGCGAACATGCCAAGGTCATCATTAAAAATCTCACTTCCACCTTTTAACTGGAGAAGTTTTAAAAGCAGTATACCAAACCGAGCTGTTTGCAAAGGTAGTGCTCTGAGTCTGCACAGAACAGTTTACTAGTTCTCAGTGACTACGACATTAAAAGTACAATTAAAATGTCATACTCCTCAGAAGGCATTGATTTGCTGTACTGGGTCTGGCTGGGATGGAGTTAATTTTCTTCATAGCAGCCCCGGTGGTGCTGTGTTTTGGACTTGTGACTAAAACAGTGTTGATAACACACCAATGTTTTGGCTGTTGCTGAACAGCTTGCACAGCCTCAAGGTCTTCTTTTTCCCCACTGTAGATCCCCAGCGAGTTGGCTGGTGGTGCACAAGAAGTTGGGAGGGGACACCGGCAGGATGGCTGACCCAAATTCGTCAAAGGGATATTCCATATCACGTAATACCATGCTCAGCAATAATAACTTGGGTAGAGGAAGAATGGGGGGCAGGGGCTGCCTTCCAAGGCAGCCATTGCTCAGAAACTGGCTGGGCATTGGTAAGCAATTGCCTTTGCATCACTTGTCTTCCCCCCACCTCTTTCCTTCACTTATTAACGTGTCTTTGTGCTCAACCACAAGTTTTCTCACTTTTGCTCTTCCTATTCTCTCCCCTGTCCCACTGAGGGGAGTAAACAAGCAGCTATGTGGGTGCTTAGCTGCTGGCTGGGGTCAACCCACCTCACGTGCCTTCTCAGTCCCAGGAAAAGATGTTAAGCTTGATTTTGAAAATACCAAAACAAGAATATTAATTTCCCCAATAATTCAGAAGCATAAAAATTACCATAAGTGCTACCATAATTACTGAAGCACGCATAGCTTCCAGAACAGCAAAAACGCCACATAATTAACATGATATTAGACAATCCAAAAATCCCAACCATTTCACATACTACGCCTAATAAATTGTTTTCTGTTGGAAGTTATAAAAAACTTGTTTACGTATCAAATAAATTCAAAGGTATGCATGTATTCCAGTAAAAACAGATAAGCAAATAACAAATCTATGTATTAAAGCAAAGTGAGTTCTTTCTCGGTGAAGTGAATATTGCATTTGCAGGGTTGTAAAAGCTTTGCAGACGCTTGTGTTAGCGGCAAGGATTTTTTTTTTCTCACTAAATGTATGACTTGTGCAGCTAATTCATATATGACCACTCTAAAAATATCTATAAAGCAAGTCCGGGATATATACACACACACAAACATACATGTATATTTGTATATATGTATGCAAATCTGTATTTGAAGGCTTACTCTTCAACAGTTGTAAGCCACAACAGCGGAACAGGCACCTGATAATTTAAGACTTAACTACTCTTCACAGAGCAACCATCAAAAACACTGAAGTTTTAAGCTACTTCACCTTCTTTCATGCTTTGCTCCTATGACCCTCAATGTTCTTACACTGTACATCTGTCCTGAACTAACCTTGCTGCACATGGTGGGTTTTTTTCTCCCAGAGCTTACTACTGCCACTCCCAAATTGTCAATGCAAAGCAAGACACATCCCTCGCTTTTATGGTGCTCTCAGCATGTGGCTTCTATTGAAGGCCTATTCCTATATTTTTAATCTCCTCCTCTAGGATAGCAGTTTCACTAAAGCTCAACTGAAAGGCCATAGTAAGGTATTCTGATGATTCCAGAGAATTTTAAGACTCAGCACAGCATGCCCCTAAGGACTACCTTTTGGGTGCTGACAGAGTTGTGCTGCTGCTTTTAGACTAAATGGCTAAATCAAATGCCCTAGCAATTGCAGCTTTTTTTTTTATCCTCTAGACAGGGGGAAAAAAAAAAAAAAACAAACTTCCTCACTCCCGTGTTTTATTTAATCGATCCCTAAACATCCTCCTTAAGATCTTCTAGTCACATAGTGATAGTTTTTTTTAAGAGCAAGCACGTCAAACAGTTTAAGAAAAATATTATAAAAAGCAACTGCCAAAATATGAATAACTATTTCTTTCCTCAAAAGTCAGATGACTCCAATTGGGCAGTTTGAGAGCCAAGTTTCCTGAAGACTCACTTCAACACTTGCATCGTTTGTCAGACAGTACATTAACGGATGCGCCCTTATCATTGTCCCCGGTGCTTTTGTTGTCCGGGTGGCCTGGTTAAATCGGAAGCTAGTTACAGTCACACCCCCCCACCCCCGATTTCTAATCGCCTCACCCAGGCCTCCGCATCAGAAACTTTAAATTAAAGTCATTAGAGAGAAACGCAAAGACTTGCTTCGGGTGGGAAATCGGTCCGAGCCGCAGCTTTTTGGTGCAACCCGCGCCTGCCGGCTGCGGCGACCCCGCTGGGGGCAGGGGGGGAGCAGGGCACCGTAACCGCATGCAGACACCGCCACGCAGCTCACCCTCCCGCACAGATGCTTCGCGACACGTAGTTCTGACATAAGCGGGTTTTGTATTTTTTTTTTAACTCAAAGCGGCAGCCCCGGTCCCCCGGCCGGCAGGCCCTGACCGCCCTCCCGACACCGGCCCTCGGCCCGG